AAATAAATAAATAAATAAATAAATAAATAGAATCTCTAAGGAGTATATTAGACCATGTGTGCTTTTTAGCTTCATTAAACTTTACATCTATACATAATATTGATAGCATAACTGTAAGATAGAAGAAATAATAATAAAACATGCATGTGCCTACAAAGTAGCTCAAGGAGGAGAAAATAACCATTATCTGAAACAAACTCTCTATCACACAAAACCCTATACATAGCTTTTTTTTTTTTTTTTTTTTCCTGCAGCACAGCTGGAGGAGAAACTCTAAGACCAAGAAAAAATGGTAGATAAATCAGGAGTGGATCCTGTCAAGTATATGACATCTGATAGAGTTGTAGAAATTGAAAATCAGAGTGATAGCTCTTCATCTGGTAGCAACTTATTTAAAACACAGTGTGTACCTTCCTTACCTAAACAGGCTCAAGAAACCCAGGAGGAAATCTGTCCATAAACCCAAGTGCATTCAACCAGACTCATCAAGTGAGTCATCTATAGAACCAAGACCATTGACTTTGAAAATCGCCTATGCTGCTGAGCTGTTTCCCAAGCCCTGAAAGCTATTTTTGAAAGATTCAAGAAACAGAAGGGCCGGGGAGATGGCTCAGTAGAATAAGCACTTCCCTGGCAAGCTCAAGGGCCTGAGTTCAATCCGCAGTTCCTGAAAAAAAAAAAAAAGGAAGAAAGAAAAGAAGAGAAAAAAAGAAAGAAAAAGAAGAAATGTAAAAAGATGTACAAGTCAAAAACAACGCCAAGAGAAAGATCAAAAGGAGAAACACTAGAAGATCACGAATAGATTAAAAAAAAAAAATCAAAGAAAAGGGACCTAGGTTCCCAATTTTACAATCTGAGGATGAAAGGAAACCATTACCTTGGAGGAAGATTTTAACTTTTGAGCAACCTGCTACAAGATAATTTTTTTTTTTCAGAATTGGTGATTCGAACTCGGGCCCTTGCACTTGTCAGGGAAGCACTTATTCCACTGAGCCATCTACCCAGCCCCTACAAGAGGATTTTTTAACTGTATTGAAACACTGAAGTATGAACACCACCTTAAGGAATCATTGAAACAAATGATTGTTGGTAAAGATTTAGAAAAAGAAGACCTCGATAGTCATAGATACAAACACTCAGATGAGGGCTCCGTCTCTCCTACTGAAGAGGAAGCAGCAGATGAGACATTGCATCTAGAACACAATGTGTGTGATATTAAATTGGTAGAGGAGAGTTGTTTCATGATAAGTTCTGAATTTCCAAGCAAGATGAATGTGCATTTACCACGAGGGAATAATAAAGAAACTGCTTTGTCTATAGAGTTTCTAAGGCCAGAACTACTGGGCCGAAGGCAGAAAAATCTGAAAAGGAGATAAACATGTGAATAAATATAGAGAAAATGTTTTTTTGTTTTGGGGTGGTTTTTTTGTTGTTGTTGAGTTTGGGTTTGGTTTTTTTGGGTTTTTGTTTTTTTTTTTTTTTTTTGGATAGGAAGAAATGACTAAAGATGATTAATATGGAGATACCTTTGATGAAGAAAGTCTTAAATCAAAAAGCTGAGACACCCACTTCCTGTGCATGAGTCCTGCCATTCTTCTTCAGTGCTTGTTACTCAGCTTGGGCGTCACTCGAACACTGGAAGAAAAAACATTATTCTCCAGCATCCCAACAGCTGCAGTAGATTCTTGGGACCATCCTGTTTTTAACTCCACTGCAAGGCCCTTGATTTGATGCCCAACAGCTCAGAAAATAACTTCCTAATATACCTGGAAAATAGTTTTCCCATTTCAACTGCAGTTTTCCCTATGACCACCATTGTATAGCTGACTACTGTTAAGTATGTGCTGCGTTGTACAACAGTATTTATGTGCGTTTTGTCTTGTCTTATTCTTGTGGACTAAAACTTAATGAACGGAAGAAAAAATAAGCCCTAGAACACAAATGTTCACAGCAGCAGTGACAGTTAATCTATTTGAATGGCCCTTGGGTGAAAGGATTACACATTATTTCTGGGTGAGTCTGTGAGGGTATTCTCAGCTGGGATTGTTCTGGACAGCTAAGTTGGGTAGAAATATTATAGGCAGTCAGGGAGGCCTGGGCCCTCCAGATACTCAAGACAAAAGGTGAAAACACTACAAGTGGGGCCAGAGATGCATCAGTTGCGGGCCAGGCCTCAAGATAACAACAAAAGAACAGGGCCTACATACTCCCCAAGGGGTGAGATAAGTGACAACACCTCACCAAATGAAGTCTACATTAGACATCAGTCACTTCAGTGAGCACCCAAGACTCTGAAATCCATCACCTACCTGGGAAATTCTTTGATCTTTCCATGGTGGCTTGGCTCGCTACGTGACCTGCCTCCCCTTGGATCAGTATTCCCTAAGCAGCTGTACTTAGAATCTTATTGGTTGACCATAGCTATAATCTACACTGTGCCACATGGCACAATAAAACTTCCTGAGATATGGGGTCCTCAGGCAACCCACTTTCCAGGGGTTCCCACTTGTCCCTCTCAGGCAGGAGCTTCCTGTCCCTCATTAAATATTTCCTAGTTAACTTTCGTTGTTCCTAAAATGCATTCTTGAATTTTTTTTTTTTTTTTTTTTTT